CACATACACACACACACACACACACAGACACGAACACGCGCACACACACACACACACAATCACACACACACACAATCACACACACACACAATCACACACATACTCACATCCGGGCCCGAACGCGCGCGTGCGCCCACACTTGTGACATCTCAGAGCTCAAAGCGGATGCCAAGGGCAAGAAGGAGTTTGAGGACTACCACACCAAACTCCTCATCGAGAGGGCCGACATCGAGGAACGCATCAAAAAGAACAAGGACTGGATTGTGAGCAGCGGCCTCGGGTTGAACCCCGGACCCCAAAACCGGCGGCGGGCCTGCATGATTGCCTGGGGCCCGCGGCCGCCAACTCTGGGTATGCCCTGATTTTATTACCATCATCGTCCTGATATCCGTGGGTGCACGGTATCATGCAGGCCGGCTGATACCACCAGCTGAGGTCCAATGATGCCTGAGAGTGTCAAAATGTCTGTCAAATCAGCGGGTGCGCCGTCACATGGCAGATTTCACGCAGCCAACCAGGCACATCCCCCTGCAGCCCTGCGCCCTGCCCATGGCCTGTGCCCCCTCCCACAGGCCAACTTTGAGCGCAACTCGGACAATGGCGCCTTTGAGGAGCAGTACAAGCGGCTGGTGGGGGAGATCTCCACAATCTATGAGGGCGCCAAGGAGTTCCATCAGCACGGGTGGGGGTGACCCGGGGCGGCCGCGGGGGGGCTTTTTATTGAAGGATGGGGGAGGGCATCAGCTCGTGCCGAGCACAAAGCGCCCTGCGCCAGGATGCAACATATGTTTTCATATCCAGGATGCGTCTATGCTTCTCAAGACAAGAGCCAAGCAAGTTTGCTGACAGCACCTCACAGCTCAATGCCAAGCCGCCAACTTCCCTCAACTGACACACGGCACCACAAACAACACAATTCAACAGCATCGACCTTCTCATCCGGGACTTCAATTATCACGTCAATTACAAAAGGTGGGACTTGCCGTAATAGTGCCTGTCATTACACTTTGACCCTGCTTCGATGGGGCGCCTGTGCTGCTCTAGGCTGAGCGCTGCAGTTTTCCAGAATGACCATCTGTCCGACCGATGGGCACCCCCATGACGCAGGTGGAATGACACCTTCAGCGCTGTGCCGTTCAGGCCCAAGTAAGGGGCGGCAGCCAGAGGGGTGCGCGCTTACAGCCTGTAACTCAAAAATTGCCAAGGTGGATGGATGAGCTGGGTCGCATGAAAAAAATCCAGAAATGTGAGCCTAAACTGCATGCTGTGAATACGTGACATGATCAGCTGCGTGCAAAATTGACTGGGACCGTCAAAGCACAGCGGCACACTGCCAAAGGAACCTGACTGACCCGCACAACAACATCTGAAGTCAGTCGCGGCGGGCCCGGGCGGAGGCAGGGCGCGTCATGCCATCCACTGAGGCTTTGACCAGCCCCCTTGCACTTGGGAAGAGCTGCTGCTGCTGCTGCTGCTGTTGCTGCTTCTGCTGTAGCAGCTGTTGCTGGCCCTGCTGCTGCAGCTGCGCCCCCGTTGGGCCCGCAAGGCCGGCCAACACCGTCCCGGGCCGCCCTCCTGCGCCGCCTGACGCGGCAGCTGCACTCGCTGACGGGGCAGCTTTGGCTGCGACGCCTCTGTCGCCGCCACCACCCCGTGCCGATCCAGGCCGCTTGCCGCCATTTGGCAAGCCGCCCTGCCCGCCCGCCGCAACGGCGTCCCCCATGACCGCCGCAGCCGCCGCCAGCGCAGCGTTCAGAGCCCCCGCACCCCGCCGCCCCGCCGTGCCGGGCCGCTGCGCCGTCGTGCGCCGCGGGCTGCCGCCGCCGCCGCCGGTGCTGGGTGACCCAGCCAGGTCATCACCCATCGAAGCGTATGAGTAATACAGCCCCTCCATGCGGCGGCAGTCCAGCGTGTACAGGTCCGCCTCCGCCGCCTGCTGCGCCCGCTGCTTCTGCAGCTGCTGCTCCTGCTGCGCGCGCTGCACATTGCCTGGCAAGGGCGGTCGACGTGGAAGATTGAAATCGAGCGTACAGCAACGAATCAGGCCCATGCCTCCTGCAGGCATCCACCATCCATGGCGCTGACATAGGCAGGCTGAACCCAATCTCAGTTTCTGGGGATGCCGAGTGAGTCACTCGGCCTGCATGTCAACAACTTAGCAGGACAGCATCATACCTGCGTACTCTGCGTGGTCAATCCTCCACGCCTCGTCGTACTCATCCCAGTGGCAGTGGTCCATGATGACCTGGCCAATGGATCAGGTCAAAGATATCAACATGCAACACAGATTAAGGGGCGTCAGGGTTGCCCCACGACCGACCATCCCCTGCAGACAAAACGTCGTGCGAGCATGCATGCATGCACGGCGCTCACCATGGATGCCCAAAGCGAGCTGTGCTTGTCCCGGCATCCACACACCGGGAGGCCGCACAGGACCCCCCCTCCAAGTCCCCACCCCCACCTCTTGGTATGCCGGTGGGATGAAGCAGGCGATCACCAGGTTCTTCAGCTTGACCTGGAGGAGTGACCAGCAGCAAAAGAATTGCACAGGGAATTCGGCTCCAGCTGGCAGCGCCCCGCGTGGTTGCCAACTGTGGACTGGACTGCCAGGCAGATCCCATGCTGCTCGGCGCCAGCACACACACACCCCCGTGTGGGGCCTCAGTGCCAGGGGCCCCCTACTGTGCCGAGGTGCGGGACGCCGCCTCGCCGCCCCCCATCGGGCGCCCCACCTGCCGAGTCAGCGAACGGTAGTCATCCAGTAGAGCCTCCCGCTCAGACTGGAACTGCGACGACAGGCCCTGACGGCGCGACGGGTGACAGGGTTTTGTTCGTGTCAGGCAGGCGGCTCAGCTGGAGGTTGCGCATGACCGGCGGATGTGCGATGGCCGCCTCAACAACTAAAAAACTGGGTGACATTGCAAGGTAGGCGTGCTGATCACACGCAGCGCCGCTCAAGTAATCCGCATCCGCGGCTCCAAGGCTGTGGCGTGCGCGCGCGTGGCCTTACCAGCCGGGCGGCCGCGAGCGCGCCTCTAAGAGGACTTTTGCTCGCGACGGCGGGGCCTTACGTAAACCAGGCGCAACGCGACCTGCACCTTGCCTGCGCGTGCGCTCACCGCGGCCTCCCCCTTTTTCTCCTGATATTCTGCATACAGCGCCCGCAGCTGCCGCGACTTCTGGGCCACCTCGTCCTGCGCGTGTCAACAAAAATGCAGTGAAGGCGCCAGCGCAACGCTGGTTTATGCTGGGGTCTGCAGACTCCTTCCTCACGCCCGTCAAGTCTCCAACTACAGGGAAAAGCTCGTTCTAGCCATTGGAAGCAAGCAAGCGCGGGGCCGCCAGCCAGTTTATATGCGTGCAGCTGCCCACCTCGAGGCTGGTGTAGGCCTGGTTGAGGTCGAGCTGGTGCAGCTGCAGCTGCTGCAGCCGCCGCTGCTGCTCCTCCTGCTGGCGCCGCCGGACCTGCGCGCGCACATTAAATTATGCCGCAGCCAGACGTCTCATACCGTGGGTCGGCACTGCACGTTCAGATTTTTCTCTATCTCAGTTTGTGGACCTAAAGAGCATGAAAGCACACAAAACAACTGGAAGGACCCTTCCAAACCCCTGAGCCCCATCACAGGCAGCTACCATATTTATCATCTGCAGCAGCAGGCCGCCAGCCCATGGCGGCGGCTGTCCAGAGCAACGCGAGACCCAGAGGGGCCCACCTCCATCTCCTGCTTTGTGGCCACGCTGCGCGCCTTGAGCTCGTCCACCTTGTCCAGCAGGTTGACCCCGCCATGCAGCACCTGGAGGCACATACAAGGCGGAGTAAAGGTGGGGTGGTTTTGAGGGCGCAACAACACGGACAGGTGCAGGGGGACGTCCGATGTGGGGGAGCAGGGCGCTGGGATGGGGGAGGGCAAGGGTAGGTGGGGGGCCCTTGGAGCGCATGCAGGCACCAAAGTGAGGGCGTTGGGCCGGTCAGCTGAATTCAGTAGGGGTGCAAGCGAGGCGTTGGATGTGGCAAACGCGGATGCGGCGGTGTTGGCAACATAGAGGATAGATGTTTGGATCAACAATAGGCCAATTGCTGCCGCCCAGCAGGCGGCGACGCACAGGCAGCGGGCGGCTGCATGCGGGCCGTCATCGCGCACTGACAGCGCTCAATCTTCAGGCGGCCGGCAGCCCCACCTTGCCCTCCATGGCTTTGATCTTGGCCAGCAGCTCCGCCTGCTCCCTCCGCTCCCCCTCCGCCGCCGCCTGCAGCGCCGCCATGTCCGCCAGGCGCCTCTTCAGCGCCTCGCGCAGCGCGCGCCGCTGCTCCTCGCTGCGGCCGCTCTCCGCCATGGCGGCCTGGGCGCGGGAGGCGCGGCGGGGTGGCGTGGCGGCCGCGTGGCGCCACAGGAGGTGCATACACGGCGATGATTTTGAAACCGGCAGCCCATCTGGGCCCTTAAGATAGTGGAACGTGCTTGGCCCCACTGACTGGTGAGCGGTTTTGGGCATGAAGACTGCCGGAAAAGCAAAGCACATGCCAGCAAGTGCAGCCCCGGCCCACCTCCAGCTGCTTGTGCGCGTTGGCCTCCGCCTCCGCCCGCACAGCAGCCGCCGCCTCCGCGCTGATGTCAGACCGCACCTGCATGAGAGCATGCGAGCGCAATTTTCCCCTCTTGCAATCCACTGCCTTTTCTCATCTCGAGGTGTTGCCCGCCCGCCGTCTGCCTTGTCACAGGGCGCATGCATGCATGCACCACCATGCGCGCATGCATGCACCCCACTCCCAAACTCAACAGCCTGGAACCCCAGCGGCCCACTTTGGCCTCGATCTCGGCCTTCATCTCGCCACGGATCTTCTCCATCAGAGCCTCGTCAGCGACAACCTCCACAACACGCTCCACCACGCGTGGCTGCCCGCCACCGCCCCCGCCACCGCCTGCGGAGTCGCGCCGCCATCATGACATCAACGCGAGTGTCGGAGCTCTTGCTCAGCTAGCCCTTGGCGTGTCCCCCCACGTCCACCCTACCCCCTGCACCCAGCCACGTCGGACTCCTGCTTGCCAGCTCCGATTTTCAGCGGCCCAGAGCGGCGCACCTGCGCCCCCGCCGGCCGCCTGGCGCGCTGCCAGCTGCTCCTTGAGTCGTGTAATCTCGTCCTGGAACTGCCTGCGAGGCCAAGCAATACGGTCACATAAGCGCATCACCTGGCAGCCGGGAAGCTGCTGAGCCTCAAGCTAGCGGGCCTCAAACGCCCCCAGGTGCGAATGCCAATGACAAGCAAACTGTAATCGACAAAGTACTGTCAACATGTGATGTTGAGCAGCGAGAAGAGGCCTCGCCACTTTTGTGCTTGCTTCTCCCTGTCCTGTACTGCCTTGTCTGGATCTGCCCTGGGGTCCTCGTCTGCCCTATCTTGCTCCCCCAAGCCCCATCATGATGACGTCACCGCGCCTGAGCATGGCGTCCTTGGGGTCCTCGTTGATGCGCGGCTTGTTGGTGATGTTCTTAGCCCGGTTGGCGTACCTAGAGGGGAGGGTGCGGGGAAGGGGGGGCAAGTCCAGTCAGCCCAAGTGGCCCAGGCGATGTCCGCTTCATGCACAATCAGAAATATCCGACACCACGTGTCCAGCTCAACGGACCGTTTGTGCGCCTCAAAAACCAAGCTCACATGGCGGTCCCTTTGAAAGCAGACGCATACCCCAGTCGCAGAACATTGCATAAGCGAGGCGCTGCCCCCGATGATGTCACGCTGACACCCACCTCAGCGTGCTGAGGGTCTCGTCGTAGTTCCAGTCCGCCGGCCCCACGTTTGCGACCATCACAGTCTTGGTGTTGCCCCCCAGGCTGTCCTGCAGCAGCCGCGTCAGCTTGGAGTCGCGGTAGGGGATGTGGCTGCTCTTGCCGTCCACCAGGGCGCTGATGACGTTGCCCAGGGCCGTGAGGGACAGGTTGATCTTGATCCCCTCCTTCAGGCGGTCGCCTGGGGGGGGGGGGGGGAGAGGAAGAGAGTGTGTGTGTAAACGCGACACGGCTGCGATCGAGGTTTTTCCTCAACGTCTGGAATTGGCGTTGGTTGCATGCAACCCGACGCTGAGCTGCACAGCGCGGATGTGCCGCGGCCCTCACCTGTGGCTCCGGTCTTTGACTGGCGCTCGCTGCCCGCCAAATCCACGAGATTCAGCTTTCCTACCTGCCAGGCATGCAAAAAGAAATGCACATGATCTCAGGGCGTCGCCGAAGCAGCACTGGCACCAGGTAGGGCCCTGTTCAGGGAATCTTCCGGGGTGGTGAGTCATCAGGCTTACCCGGATGTGGCCGTCCGCCGCAGCGGCCGCCTGGGCGCCGGGCGCGATGCGCTCTGTGGTCTCAATGGTGATGCTGAATATGGAGTGGGACCTGCTGCTGTCCTGGGGTAGGCAATTCCATGGTTGGCCGGAAATTGCATGATCATCAGCCACGCTGGTATCATGGTAGGTGCGAGGGCACAGGCTGCCCCAGCCAGCGCGGGAACCGCACGCGGCAGCTGAGCTTCTCCCCGTCTTTGCCGCACGAGACCCGACAGCACCGACTGCTGGCTTAGTTGGGAGCGCTGGGGCGGGCGCTGGTGCTGCCGCGCAGCTGTAGAATCACCTGGTTCATCATGGTGGCGCCCACCACTCGGTTCTTCTTGCCAACCTGGGGACCAGGGCGGTTCGAGGCGGCCGCGCAGCTTGGTGAGGCGGGCTTGGGTGCAGGCCGTCATCTCGCGTCTTCACAGGGCGTGTCCATGCAGGATTAGGATTGTTACAAGATCCCGCGGTCGCCCGCTCCTGGAGCCATCCAGGCAAGGGGCCCGCATCTCACGCGGTGCCGCCCGCCTTCCAAGGCCCATTGCTGCGCGTGTGCTTCACATGGCCTCCCGACACACGTCCGGCGCCCCAGGCACGCACACATGCCCCCTCGGCGTGATGGTTGCTGTGTCGCACCCACCTGCAGCACGCTGCTGATCTCTGGCACGCCCTTGACCACAAACTGCATCAGGTCCTTCACGTACACACCCCTGGGTCAGGAGTCCGACGGGCAGGGTTGTAAACCGTAAACAATCAGGCACCATGCATGCCACTCAATCGGCGAAACCAGGAGCGTGCACTGCCTCCGCCACCCATCAGGGCAACCCCAGAATGCAGTTGCACCATTGAACGCGGAAAGCGGAAACAACGCAAGGCAACGTTGATCCAAGGTCAGCGCGGACCTGTTTACTGCCTTGTGCTTGCCCACCCGACCCCCAACGAGCCTGCCGTGCACCATGGATGCCGTTCGCCCCCCTGCTGGCCCCCGGCTGACCTGTCGGGGCTCTCTTTTAGCTCCAGCTTGGCCTCTGGGCTTTTTGACAGCAGGTCCCTGATATCCTCGTTGTAGATCTCGAGGTAGGACGCACGCACGAGGAACTCCTTGGACCCGCCTGGGCGTCCCACAAGTTGGCAAGTGACAACTCAGCCTCGTGGCGGCGCAGCGGCACGGCAATTCTGACGCTCGAGGCCCACAGTGGGGCCCCGCACGGATGCAGCTATGGACGGTGCCACTGCTGCAGCAATAGCTCGAGGGGCCGCACGAGAGGGACTGCACAGCGCTGAAATCGCATCACGTGAAAGCCTTTAGCTGTCACGGTTCTGACTCGTCGTGGTCAGCAGCCTCACTCTGCCGCGCGATGGTCTCGAATATGTAGTTGAAAGCGCCGGGGATGATGCCCCGCAGCTCAGGGGGCTCGTCTTTGCCTTCCATAGTGAAGGACTTGCCGGTGCCGGTCTGCCCGTAAGCAAATATGGTGCCTTTGGGGGGAGGATTGATGAGGCATGGTAAACGGGAGGGGGGGGTGTCGCTGGGCATGAATTATGGCAAGGGGCATCGTTACTTGTGTGCACGAGCATGACTGCTGGCCCGCGCGTGGCAGCGATGTGCTGAGCCAGCTGCCTACGCTCATAACACGCAGAGGGCCAAGAAGGTCACGCCTTCCCCAATGCGTGGCGGCCCACATGCGCTGCTGGCTGCTTGCAGTGCCTTTGAAATCCACCCGTGACTTATCAAATGCTCCGGCTTAGAGCTGCATTTCCCCGCTGGGTGATGCTCGCCGTGGTGCCTGCCACGAGCCCCTCCCCTCAGGGACTGCCTTGGAGGGCCGCACCGTTGTAGCCGTCCATGACAGCGTCGATGATGGGGCGCGCCGTGATTTCAAATATCTCCTTTTGATTGCTGTCCCAATCGTATACCTTTGTACGGGGTTGGTGGGTAGGGTGGGGGGTTGGGAAGCGGGTTTCAAACACAACTGACATGTGGCCTATGGCATCGCTGCTGCTGTTGCTGCTGCCAAGTTGCCAGATATGCATGCCTGAAGCAACCTGATCTTACGCACGCCAGTGGACACGCCTGTGCAGATGTGTGGTCCAACCTGGTCAAACGTGAACATCTTGGGCGCCTCCCCGCCATCCGCCTTGGAGTTGCGCAGCTGCAGGTGCAAACGAGCGAATCACAAGGGCGGCATCAGCTGTTGCCACTTTAAGCTTGAGCGAGTCACAGCGCCGTGGCAGGCCTCTTGCCAGCTGGCTGGCTGCACATGCTTTATATCAACAGCGGCGCTCTTCGTGGTCCGTAGCTGCAGGGTGGCCGCCGCAAGGCAGCTGGCATTGAAACTACATGATGAGCCTCTTCAGGTCGCCAGCCATGCCTGGCGGCTGCCCGCCCGAGCGCCTGGCTTAGGAGGACTGGACGGCCTGGAAGCCTGAGCGCCCGAGCACCCGACGACGTTCAAACGCATGCCGCCAAGTCGAGTGGGGCCCCTGTTGCTCTCACCGTGACCTGGCCGGCGCGCACATCCATGTCCACGACACGTTCCCGTCCATCCTGCTTCTCCTGGCTGTTGAGCGGCCTGCAGCGCACCACCACCTGGGCGGAAGGCGCATGAGGGGTCGCGGCGGGGTTGCACTGCTGCGTAGCGCATGGCAGGGGGCAGCAGCTGGCACGGGTGCAGCAGCGGCATGCAGCTCGTCCTGCAGGGGCTGCATGTGCCGCACACCTTGACAGCCTCTGCTGCCTTTGCCATGGATCCTTCACTCAGCTAATAACCTATCTTTGTCACATATATGACATTTTTTCCGATCATTGTGGCGTGACAGGTCAACACGCTCAGACTGGATCTCTATGATGAATGGTCAACATGTGTTCTGATTCAACCATTATTTCATGTAATAATTCATTTCACCACACATCCAATTCATGTGGACCGCGCTGCAATCCAGATCATCGTGACAGCATCGGTATCAAAACGCAGACTTGCGCGGGCTTGCATCTTTGGACTGTTTTGACAGCAAGATCTTTGAAGGCTTTTTGTACCAGGCAGCGCCCGTTCACGCATCGTTCAGAGCCTGTTGCAACAAACTAACGGGTCAAGGGCCTCGTTGTTCATCGCGATGGCAGCAGAGCTTGGCAACGCTGCGCCTGCGGCAGTGCTGCCTGACCTCCCGGAGAACGCATACGCCAGTCTGTGCCAGCAGCTGGGGCCAGCGTCATGCCGCAGGCTGCGCCTGGCGAGCAGGGCCTGCGCGGCTGCGGTGGACAGACAAAGCGCCCGCGTCGCGATTTGCCCGGACGGCACAGCAGGCCTCGGCCCGGCGGCACTGCCGCGGCTGCGCCTGCGCTTCCCAATCGCGACCGCCCTTTCGGTGCGCGGCAGCCGGGTGCTGGAGCAGCCTGACGAAGAGGTCGAAGCTGCGCGCCAACTGACGGACATGCTTGCGCAGCTGGCCGCCGGTGGCCTGCAATGGAAGGGGATCACCCACCTCGACACCGACGAGCTCTTCAGCCAGCAAGGCATGGGGTCCGCATTCCCAGCGCTGCTCGCCATGTGCCGCGACGCGACGCACGTGAACGTCGTCGGCTCGTCAGCAGACACGCTGCGCGCGCTCGCGGCTCACGGCGGCGCGGTGACGCACCTCAGCGCGAGCTTCGGCCGCGTGAGCAAGGAGGAATGGGACAAGATGCCATGCGGCGCGGAGGGTGCGCCCGGCGAGGTGATGGGCGGCTGGCTGGCGCAGCTCAAAAACCTGCGCAGGTGGGTTCGCTGCCAGATCTCTGATACGGCTGTTGGAGGCGCGGCAACGCTGTAGCTGCACAAATTATTGCAGGCGCGTGCACGCCGCCAACCAGGCAGCACATTTATCCCGCCATGCATTGCAGGCATCCAAAAATGAGGCCCACTGCTCAGTACTGACCCATCCCGTCTCCCTCCTGCCTTCTCGCCTTGGTGCCACCTTTCGTTTCCCGCGTATACCTGTCTCTTACTAATCTGCATCAACCATCATCCCCCTCCAGCCTGCAGCTGGTGGTGCAGGACAAAGCGGTCACCGAGGCCGTCACGCGCGCCCTGCCCAGCCTCGGCGCGCTGACGCGCCTCCAATGGGGCTGCAACGACGAGGGCGACGACGAGGGTGAGCTGCGCGGCTGGGCCGGGCCTGTGAACCGGGCGCTGGGGCCACACGGTTTGCAGAAGCAGGGTGATGCAGACCGTGCGCGATTCCTCGAGGGCGATGATTTGCGCGCAGCTCGCGGCCTTGCGCCGCTGCTCCTGTCCCCTTCGGGCCAGCACACAAACACGCGCGCACACATGCGCGCAACAACGTTGCTCACGCATGCAGACGTTGTGCACCTCCAGCCCGGGTTGCCGCAGCTCCCAGACGACGGCCGCTGTCCGCCGCTGCAGGAGCTGCTGGTTAGCGACGCCTTCACTGCTGCAATCACACAGCTCAACAGAGCGGCGCCCTTGAACAGCCTGACGCGGCTGGAGTCATCGTTGTGAGTAGAAAACAAAACACAGCTCTTGGCGAGGGAGGGACCCAACGGCGGCCGGGCTCCGCACCCTCCCATGTATGCGGGGAGCTGCGGCCCTTGCAGCGCATGCTCTGCGCTCGCTGTGCTGTCCACGCGCCCGCAACTCAACCTCAATTTGGCCCTTACCTCCCCCCGGCCGCGTCAATGCTGTACCGACTGCCATCATCGCAGCATATCAAGCTCACTGGATATCGTCCAGCTGCGCCACCTCGCAGCAGCAGCCCCAAACTTGCGGGTCCTCAAGGTGTCGGAGCTCAACGCTGGCGACGACGACGAAGACGATGACGATGAGCAGGCGCCCCCGTCGCCGCCCGGCGGCTACCCCAGACTGGCGGAGCTGCGGGAGCTCGAGGTCATCATGATCAGCGGGCCCACGGGCATTCTGAGGCACATCATGCCGCGGCTGGAGGTTCTGCGGCACGAGCCCATCAGCAAGTGCGCTGCCGCCACAC